CAACATCTATACTTGTGAAAAGCTGGGGGTCAAGTTATTAAATCTGGAGAGTTTGCCTCTCAGCAAGGTCTTATGACTTTGTAACACAGAATCCGGATGACAATAGTTGAATATCTACACAACAAAAGCATGCTGTAAGCTTTATTGAGTTACCAACTTTATCTAGTTCAACAACAACACCAGATTTTTAAATTCACAATGCCTATGTTTTCCTGAGCAACGATAAACTGAAAAGTAGCTATGGTTAAAAGACGGGACAATATTTAGTGGGACCATACACACACACGCACACAAGACGTGCACACTACGGGGGTGGATTCACTACAAAGGTCATAGCCTTACATCCATTGTGCCAATTAGTGGTGTAGTAATCTTCACAAAACAGAGCAAGACTTTAAGAAAAGCCTGAATAGAATGTGTTTAAACAGACATGAAGTCGCATTGAAGAACCAGCAACCATGTGAAATACCATATCAATTTAAACTAGACACGATAAAATGACAATTAGTGAAGCATACTTGAGTTAATATAACTGTCAGTATAAAACTAATAAGATGAGCTTCACTTACTTTTTTCTTACGTCGGAAAGAAAGCCTGTGCGATTTATGCTTATGGTGAGATTCAGCCTTAGAACCCTCTGCCCCCATCATTTAAAGTCAGGATAAACCCATTAAGTCTCGAGGAAGTTTATAGACGAAATAGCAGTACCCGAAATGTTTTTATTACAATCAAAAAAAGTGGGGAACAACTTGGTGTGGATGACAATTGATAGAATTGTTAAGCAGCAGTGAAAATTTGAATAACAATCTTAACTAGTTTTCCTTTAGCAATGTGATCAATACATTGTTGGTTTACAATTGGATTGAGTTAAAGGACAGGTTTTTTCATCAATCATGAGCTGACCTGTAAGATCTTCTCTTAGACTTCTTCTATTGTAAACGGAATGATAATAAAAAAGTGAAAACGTGGGTGCTTAAAACCATCCGATCATCAGAAAATGCATACAAACAAAGTCCTTGATTGCAATAAAAAGAACACATGCATCTTGCGAAGCGATTTTCAAGAATGCTGATTTGATTAAAGAAATTTTCGCTTCATTAGTGTCCATCTTAATATATGCTTCAGGCGATTCTATATTTACACATTAACTACAGTATAGAAACAAAGTTCAAATCATTGCTGTCCAATGACCGCAGCGTATCCAAGGATCTTTGCCTATTGAAATATTTTATGCCTTTCACGTCCCGTTATTGTCAATTGTGTCAGAGTACGCACAATGAGAAAATCAGACAGTACAAACCGGTTAAAGCACAATAAAATATCACACGATAAATTAAAATACTTTTCAAACAAGGCTAACTTAGCCGCTCAGTTTACCGTATGTAACTACCACATAGAGACCTATTTACATGAAAAATGATAAAATCTGTACATTAAGTTATGACAAAGAAAATACATTTCTAAATAAATAATAAAAATAAATACAACAAAGTTTGATTCAGGGATAAGACACTATAAAGCAATATTGAATTTATGCCACGTAAAAAGAAAAGTTGAATATGGAATGACAACAGACAGCAAGTACTGATTAGAACTACGTACCATGATACAACACATGGACTTAATAATCATGATAAAGTTGTTTTTTTCTAAATCTATATTAACAATGAAGACAAGAATACCTATTGTATTGAGTTTATTCTCATATTACAACAGGTTGTGAAAACAATTGTTATAGCATTCTTGTGTAACTATTGTCTAATGCATACACTATTTGAGTATAGTTTGGACAGGATCCAACAATATGACATACATTTATCGCTTGAACGATTACTTACTCTAGATAAGATGGTACACCAATCACAAATTTATCACCAGTTGTGAAATTAATATATGTGATTTTAATATTCTTTTCATGATTGTTTTATCTAATATGTCACAATAGTTATTTCTGTGGAAACAATTTTCAAGTGTTGCCACTTCCACAATAACATACATTTACTTTCCCTCTTTAAATTATGTCCGAGGCTTGTCAGCAATTGTAAACTTATGTACTAAAAATAAAGATTGTATCGACAGATATAAAAAAAATATTTTGGCGGGATTAATATTTGTGGGGAGATTTAAATATGTCTACTTTAGGTAAACATAATATCAAATGAAGTACTTTAAACTTGGCAATAACCCCCCAACTACATTTTATCAATATAGATTTAATGACCTTTGACATAGATTATCTTACCCTGAATGAATGAACTTTGACCTGAACATCTCTAGTACTATGATTTCAATGAAGGCAAGCTGAAAGGGGATCCCAGTCTACACATTATATACATGTAGGTCACAGTCTATTTATTTTACTCCATGGAATATTTAAGCAATAACCCCCGCCGAAGGCGGGTATACCACGAGATATTGCACAATTCACGACATATATGCACGAGCCGCGGCGGGACGCAGTGTATCATGTACGGCGACCGGCACAGCGACCTCAGTTCCAACATCTGACCTGGATACCTTTGGTATAACCAAAGTTTTGTGATAGTATGACTGACAAGTTTTGTCGTTGTTCTGGGGTAAGTTTGATGGTGTAAAATCGGATTTTCGCATCGTTTTTGTGACACGTACATGATATGCCTTGTCTCAACTCCGGCCGAAAGAATTTGCACGCCGTCACTCTAATACAGTGGTTGGTGTACACTCGGCACAAATCTGTAGCTTTCGAAATTACCTTCATCATCTCCTGTATTTATTTACATATAGTGGAGAATTACAATACCATATATCGTCGTCGAATCCTGCGTTGTCTCGTGTTTTTTGAAACAGATGGCAATTACCCGGGTGCACTGCAATTTTGTCAGCTGCCGCTACCGGACACCGGTTGTTATTGGTGGCATACATTTTTGCCTGTGACTCATAGTTTTTTGCATTTTTATGTCATTAAATCC